AGTGCTCTACCACTAAGCTACATCGACAGCCTTTTTGTATTTCTCACTTCTAGACATGGTTTTGCTAAGTGGCCCAGGCTGCCCTGGAAGTCATGACCCTCCTGCCTCTGCCTCTGCCTCAGCCTCAGTAGCTGGGATAGACTAACTCAGGGCGGTGGGGTGGGGCTACCCTCAGGTGAAAGCTCCCCTGCCCAGGGTGGCCAATGTCTTTTTGCATCTTTCTTCCTGATGCCACTTGACAGTCAAGGAGAAGAGGGTCATTTAGAGTCCAGTAACCTACAGGTTCTCAGGGCCCCAACATACAGGGAGAAGTGAGGCGGGAGGGTGGGACCCAAAGAATACCCGCTGGGGCCCAGGCACACGGCCACGCATGGCTTCATATTTGCTCTCTTCTTCCCCGTCCCCACAGGGAAAAGACAGTAACTGCTGTCATTTTCACTGAGTTCTATTACGTGCATTGTCTTTCCCTTTTTAGTCCCTGGACAAGGGTCTCGTTTGTATAATTTTGTCATTTCCAGTATGACATATAGATGAAATTGAAGAGTATTTAAACTTCTGCATAGGCTTTTTGTTCCCACTTCGCATGTTTTTGAGGTTTGGCTAGGTTATCACACATACCATGAAGTTTCTTCCGTTTTATTTCTGAGCTATGTTTCATGCTATAAATGTACTGTAGTTACTCATCCCTTGAAGTACTTCCTGGTTGTTTCAGTTTGCGTTTATTAAAAATAAACTGCTATAAAAGTTTATAAGACTGGGCGTGGTGGCGCATGTCTATAATCTCAGCTCTTGGAGGCTGTAAACAGGAAGATCACTATGAGTCTGATCTAGTAGTGAGACCCCGAACACCCTATAGACCCTTCCCTAAAATAAAAAAAAAAAAGTTTATATCCTGCATACCTGTAAGCTCCGTTACTCAGGAGACTGAGGCAGGAGAATCACAAGTTTGAGGCCAGATTAAGAAACTCAATGAAAACCTGTCTCAAAATTAGAATAAAAAATATAAAGGGCTGGAGATATAGCCCACTGACGAAGCCCAACACATGCGGGGCACCAGTTACAATTCCCAGTACTAGGAAAAAAAAATGTATTTTTGTGCTAATTTCTGGAACGCTTGGTTATATGACTGTTGCCTATGATAGCTGTTTAAGAAACTGCCAGAGCGTGTTCCACATTGTGCTAGTCCAGGTTGCCGTCAGCAGCGCGGGAGCGACCCGGTCTCGGCGTGAGCCGCCTACCTTTGGAGCAGCGGCCCTACTTCAGCCCGGCTGCGACGCGTCCACGGCAACCCTGGCTTCCCACACACATTTGTTTTCAAACAAGTTGGTTCACAAACAGAAGCATTT